TACAGTGAATTATTCTATTATTGCTTACTGTTTTTTATCTGGAGGAAAATTCAAACTTTCCAGGCTTTAGGGCAGGATAAAATGGCTCTGAGCATGTCGGTGTCTCAAGAGCACATTATTTTCTTATTGGATTGCATTAACTTTACAGATGAAAATTTGAAGGAGAATTAGAAGGCTTAGAGAAGGGAAATTTGGAGAAGAAAAGAATCATGTCTTCAGATTTCTGGAGGGGCAAGCTGGCAAGTCACTCTGAAGGCTGCTGGTACTAATTCCTATAGGAAGAGACATAGCAGACCCGAAGAAATGATCACAGGCAGAAGGGCGTCAATCTCAGGGAACAAGGGAGTTGTTGCCAATGCGCCGGTTATCCAGGGCTCACCTCCGTCCCTCTGACAACTGGCACCAATTTTTCTCTTGTTTTAAGACTTGGTTTGGCTTTAAATTTTATTTATTTATTTATTATTGTACGTATGTGTTGGGGGCATGTACGTAGAGGTCAAAGGACAACTTGGTGACATCTGTTCTTCCCTTCCACCTTTTGGTGGGCTCCGGGGATCCGATTCGGGTTGCCAGACTCTCACGGCGACAAGTGCCTTTACCGGCTGAGCCGGGCCGGCTACGTGCACTCCTGGCCGCTAACTTCCCACAACCTGGGAGGGGTTTTTGGCAGTTCCACTTAGTTTGAAATACAAACATAGTCTCCTGCCTCAGACGCACAGAGCCACCCCTGAAGGGACAGCGACATGACATATATAAACAAACAGTCACCCATAAGTGCTCTAATTGACTGCAAGGGAAAGCCGAAGGGAAACAGAACGTAATAAAAACCTAACAGGCAAAAACCCAAGACAAAAAGTTCAGGCCTCCTCCTGCCAGGAACTGACTGCTTCCTGAATATCTGGTGGCGGGCAAGGGGCAGCCATAGGCTGTCCCGTTCATGCTGCCTGATCAAAACTCTTGCAGGCATCAGCCTGATGGGCCTGGAATCCTGCCTGTCAACACCCACAACCCCACGAGCCCCTTCCCACCCACGAGAGCTCTGCTGTACACCATCTGATGCCACCTCAAGATCTGGGATCAGAGATTCATGGGTGGGGAACGGCCACAGAGCAGGCTTCCGGGCAAGGGAGAAGCACCTGTCAAAGGGTGGCCAGGGTCCCACTTGTCCCTCTAGACCAACAGTTCTCAACATGTGGGTCGCGACCCCCTTTGGAGGCACGTAGTCGATATTTGCATTGTGGTTCTTAACAGTAGCAAAATTACAGTTATGAAGTAGCAACAAAAATAATTTATGGTTGGGAGTCACCACAGCATGAGAAACTATTAAAAGATCACAGCATTAGGAAGGTTGAGAACTGCCATTCTCGATGCTCAGACTCAAGCATCTTACTGGTCTTTTTCAGCTCACGCACATGCACACGTGCGCATACACACACACACACACACACACACACACACACACACACACACACACACGGCAGGGGATGGGCGGGGGCGACAGACAGACAGACATTACAGAGAACTACAGTCTGAGCCAGCAGAGGAATGACATGTCTGCTCCCAGATGCAGTTCTGTTTTCCTGCACCCTCCTGGCTGTGAGGATTTCTTTTCCCTTGTGCTTGTTGAGAGAGTGAGTCTCCCTTCTAGGGATGTACACCACTGCACATCTCTTAGCCTTGCCCCTTGGAAACTTGACTTTGCTGCTGTAGAGTGTCCTCCCTTGTCTGCTCCAGGGTGTGCTAGGTGGGGGGAGGGGGGGAGGGAAGCAAAGAAGAAAGAACCGAGGAGAGAGGCTGCTTGTTGGCAGGGCAGGACGGTGGTGTCAGGAGAACCCAGGCTGCAAGATTCTAGGCGTAGGCCTGAGGCTGAGCTCAGAGCATCATGAAATAAGAGCCCCCAGAGCACCAATGCCCATTTGCCTCGGAATCATGCCATTGTTACTGACACATAAAGTTGCATGTGCTCCCCCCAAATCTCAACAGTCCCATTTTGTCTCCCAAGAGCCCCACTTGCCAGGACAGAATCTGAATGGTGCTTCTCTTCGTAGGTAGCTGCTTCTCTTATCTTAATCATTTCTGTCAGAAGGTGTATTTGATATTGCAGGTGACCCCCCTCCATGGCATATATGTAAGGGTTTCCTTGTAAAGGACAGACCTGACCCCAGCTAGTTTGGTAAAAAAGATGTATTCATTAAAGAGGCATCAATGACTGTTGGAACTGTCAGGAGGGCTGACTCAGCTCTACGGGACCAGACCATCTGGAATTGCAGTTTCCTACAGCCAAGGAGTTCCATGACACAATGGGAGCTCCTGCTCCAGAGCCTGGCACCACTGCCACTCCCAGGAAGCCACTGCAGTCGGCCAGTCCTTGCAAACAACTCCATGCAGAATCAGCTCAGTAGCAGACAGATCCACACCCACAAAACCAAGGACCTACCTCACCCTTCACCACACAGGCAGTGACTGATCAGCATAGGTGCTGAGTGACATAACTTTTTCTGGGCAGATAACACACCGGATTTCTCACCCCAGATAGAAATCCCACAGTAGACCAAAGTACAGATACCACCAAAGTCAACTTGGTGAACCAATGAGTTTTATTGGGGTTATTTACAGAAATGACTCAAAAGCAGTTGCATTACCAAGGCCCATCCCAGCCTGGGTGATAGCTCGCAAAAGCTGGAAAACTTGGAGCACACTGCACAGCCTGAAGGCAGTTTAACAGGTGAGAGCATCCTTTCCAAGTGACTCCAATCTAAGTCTCTTCCAGGCAGCTCGACTTGTCTGAGTCTTCACTGAAGCTTAGCTCTTCTGAAAGTGACTCTCAGCAGCTTTTGTTTACTCTGGGAGAGAGCAGCCTCCTGAATCTGGTCAGTTTCAGGGATTTCCTGAGCTATTTTGAGTTGTATGCCTTCCTTCTTTGTGTGTGTGTGTGTGTGTCTGTGTGTGTGTGTGTGTGTGGTTTTTCCAGACAGGGTTTCTCTGTATAACAGCTCTGGCTGTCCTGGAACTCACTCTATAGACCAGGCTGGCCTCAAACTCACAGAGATCCACCCGCTTCTGCCTCCTGAGTCCTGGAATCAAAGGTGTGCACCAGCTCGGCTCGGTTTCCCTTCCTTAAGTAGCTTCCTTGCAGGATGGAATGTTTCTATCTCAGAGGAAACTTACACAACAAGGAGACCCAGTCTCTCCACCTGTGCTTCCCTGCAAGAAGTACATGCAGGTGTGTGCCACCACTGCTACCCCCAGATCCCACATGATGGATCTGAGTGACTGAGTTCTACGGACACCCAAAGCCTCACCTCGGGAATATCTGGGAAGCACAGTTTCAATTTTTCACCCTCTACAGGCACAGGTGGCATCTGGAAGGTGGTTGGATTAAATGTTCTTTAAACATTTGCAGAAATAAAAACACACTTTTTGAAAAGGAGTATTTCTAAACAGTGTACAAGAATGAACAGTTCCTTTAGAAGTGAAAATAAATGTGCATTTGGAAACAACTTAGTGAATTTGAGCAAGGTGGCACACACCGATAATGTTATCATTCCCATTGTACTCAGGAGGCAGAGGCAGGAATCTCAAGAGCTCAGGCCAGCCCGGGCTACATGAGACCCTGACGAAATAAATAAATGGGAAGGGAGGGAGGGAGAGTGGGAAGGAGGGAGGGAGGGAAGGAGACAGAGAGAGAGGGAGGGGAAGAGGGAGGGAGAAAGGAAAGCAAAGGGTGATGGGAACTCCCTATTTCCTTTATGTAAGTGCTGGAGGACCAAGCAAAGGGCACTAAGTAGTCTGGTTTTGTGAGTCTGTAGTACATTCACCAGTACATTGATAGAAGGGGGGCGGGGGGGGGGAGGGGGAGGAGAGAGAGAAGGGGGGCGGGGGGGGGGAGGGAGAGAGAGAGAGAGAGTCAACCAAGCTCCTTCTGGTTTTCTACCATGGCTTGAGGGGCCATCCTCAGACACCTGTGTGTGAGTGTACTTCTGTCCTCAGGATACTGCAGGCCTGGAGCAAAGTCAAGCTACAAGAAGAGGTCAGCTTAAAATAGCTTCCGGGCACTTCCGGGACCCAGGAGACTGCAGGAACCACACTGCTCCAAGGCTTGCAGAGGCTGGAGGTCAACAAGAAAGGCCTTGGCTGTGATAGGACAGCAGGAACCACAGACTGCAGAAGGGACAGGAAGGGCACAGAGGCAGAAATACGCATCGAGGCAGGAACCACACACACCTGCAAGCCACTGAGGAAGGACGTTCTGACATCCATGGAGAGCCACCATGTGAGGCCTGCAGAGGAAGAGACCGACATCAGCTGGGTCAGGCACCATCTCACTGTGCCCAAAGGGAGCAGGTCAGATGTCCCAAAGTTTTAAGATCCTCATGATTTTCACCATGGGCATTGGTCATTTAATCTTATCATTCCTCACTTATTTTTAAGGATTTGCCCCATGTCGGGTCTTATGAAATACAGGGCAGGGGTAGTGGCCTATGCTGCAATCTCTAGCCCTTGGGACATAGAGAGGGGGAAGATCAGAGGTCAGAGGTCAGCATCAGTTACATATCCTGGGATACAGTTCTGGGATAGCCTGAGCTAAAGGAGACCTTGTCCAAAAACACAAGTGAAAAGAAAACAAACAAACAACAACAAAAACCAGAAAAGAAACCATAACCTGTGGCTCTGCAGGCGTGAGACAGATGAGAAGCAATTACAAGCCGGGGTGGTGGCGCACGCCTTTGATCCCAGCACTTGAGAGGCAGAGGCAGGTAGATCTCTCTGTGAGTTCAAAGCCAAGCTGTTCTAAATATTGAGTTCTAGACCAGCCAGAGATAGAGAATGAGACCCTGTCTCCACAGAAGAAGGAGGAAGAGGCAGAGGAGGAGGAAGAGGAAGCAGCAGCCATTATGGACCAGCCAGCCTAGTGTTGACTCTGGAGGAAAGAGAAGTTAGAAGTCCTTCCGAGTGACATCATAAGACCCATAGGAAAACATAAACCAGCCCAAAGGGATGCTTGATTGTGAGGAAGGAGGGTCAAAGACAGGTGAGCAGCGGCAGACAACATTGACTTCTTGCTTGGGCATCTGTGAGTAGACTGGGTCAGGCTGATCCCAGTGAGGCACAGCTGGGACTGGCTGCTGACTTGCTCACTGTCTCGTTCTTCCAGGGTCAACAGAGAGCGTGCCCTTCCCATCACAACAAAAAGTCTGCAGGTAAAGACCAACTCTGCCAGCGGCGCGTCTCCAGCCTCTGCCGACGTTCCACTGGCAAAGCGTGCCTCAACTCCGGCCAACTCAGATTCAAGAGTAAGCAAGAAAAAACGCCCCGGGAGGCTGTGCCATTCTGTGCTGTGGATCCGGCAGTTGAAGAACTAACTGTGACCCTGCCGCCCAGCTTAGGACTATATTGTGACCATCGGCAGGGATGCGGGTGTTCTAAAGAGACACGCGTATCCCTCCTGTAGTTTCAATCAGACAATTGAAACAGTGGTCCCTAAGAAATTGGAATTTCCCCGGAAATCACGTGCAAAAAGGAGGAGAAGGTGGTGCCCGCCAGAGGGAGAGCTCGTCTCCTGGGACGAGGCTTCGCACAGCTGGCAGCTGCCAAGACCACCTTGGGAGAGACTGGGCATGGGACAGTGATGGGAGCGGCTACATCTGACCAGGGCTGCTCAACTCTGAGAACCCCTGGCCTCTGCTCAGTCTAAACTTCCTGTCAGGAGCCGGAAGAAGGGCTTGGGCAGGGGAGATGGGAGTCACTGAATCTCTGCCCCTCTACCTAGTGGGACCACTTGAAAAAATACCCGCCTGTTCCCCTGGGGGCTGGGGAGATGGTCTATTGATTAAGAGTACTAGCTGTTCTTCCAGATGACCCGAGTTCAGTTCCCAGCACGCACATGTCAGCTCACAACAGGCCCAGGGATCTAATGACCTCTTATGGCCTCTTCAGACACTACACATATGTGATACACAGACATACATGGAGACAAAAACTCATACACATAAAACAATAAAATAAAATTTTTAAATATATCCTTTTTCTGCTTCTTTGCTTATCACTTTTTCCCTTTAATTCGCTTATTGAAGGTGAGTGGCTGAACCAGGCTAATTAGGATTGTCAGAGCTAAGGCTCTGCCCCTACTAACTCTGGTAACAATATTACTACCATTTTTCTATGTCCTCATCTAGGCTGTACATGGTACAATTTCTGCAGCTCCCCTCTCCACCACTCACCAACCCTGCTACCGAAGCTTGAGCCTCACCGTGGTATTTAACGTTCTCCTGACTTGGGTAGGGGGTGGGAGAGGAGAGGATGCAGCTTCCTGCCTCTTTCCAAAGTGCCCACAGTCTCCATCACAGCAGTCTGGTTAGCCTGGCAGGGAGAGCCCACCTGTTCCCTTTGGAGCATCCGGTGTACGTATAGGCTTGCATGTGTGGCGGTCCCCACCCCAGCACGTCTCCACATTACTGTGTGTTCTGGATGGTATTTGAGGAGCTACGGAGCAGAGGGGACCTCAATAGTGTGACACTGATTCTCTGCTGCATTTCTTCCTTTCACAGTTTAGAGTCGGGACAGGGTACCCATGACTCAGAAGACTGGCCCACCATGCCCTTCTTCTCCTGATGGTGTGCTTGCTGGCCAGACCTTGCAGACACATCTCTGTGAGTTCAAGGCCAACCTGCTCTAGAAAGTGGGTTCCAGGACAACCAGGGCTACACAGAGAAAACCTTTCTCGAAGGACCACAAAAAGAAAAAGAAAAATAATCAGCTGACTGCATGCATTAGTCTGTTTCTGTGGCTGAATTCTGTCCTGTTGGCAGTTGTCTGTGTTACATCACGCTGTTGGATTATTACAGAGTTTTATGTGAGTCTGCCT